TTGGTTCCTTTTCTAGATATTTCTTCTGTTCTTTCCTTTGTGGCATGTTTTTTTGCCTCCACATTTTGGCTGCTTCCAGGTGTTTGTTTCTATGTACTAGGTAGAGCTGCTATGTNGCCTCCACATTTTGGCTGCTTCCAGGTGTTTGTTTCTATGTATTAGGTAGAGCTGCTATGTCTCCTGGAATTTGTAGAGTGGCTTTGTGTAGTAGGTGTCCTGTAGGGTCCAGTGGCTCAGCCTCCCCAGTCACCTGAGCTGGGCCTTCTAGGTGCTCCCCTGTGTGGGCTGTGTGCACTGTCCTGTTGTAGTTGAGCCTTGGTTGCTGTTGGCGTCACTGGGAGGAATTGACCCCCAGGCCAATTGGCTGTGAGGACCAGTTGCAACTACAGCCAAAGAGCTGCTGTGCTAGAGACACCCCTATGGAGCAATATTTACTTCAGTGGAGCTTGGGTGTTCAGCAAGTTCACCCCTTGAGTGTGTCACTTGTGGATGCGGTAGGGTTGTAATCCAGTGTGGTCGAGTCTGACCACCAGGTGCACTGTCTCTGGGGCCTCCCAGGAGGTGCAAAGTCAGCCTCTGCCAGTACCTTGCCCAGGGCCACCCAGCATGAGCTACACAGCAAACCGTAGTTGGCTGCTACTTGTGCTGGGCTTGGAGGTGCCCAGGAGAGGCCAAGCTATGAGCCAATGCAGCTGCCGCTAGTGCCAGGCCTGGGGCCACTTATCAAGCCGTATGGGGCCCGCTGCTGCTTGTTTGAGAGATTTTAGGAAAGTCCTAAGCATGAGGCTCGAGAGGCCACTTGCACAGAAAAGCCCCTGGAAATGGCCTGGATGAGCTGCAGGTGGGGAGGGGCGGGGCCTCCGGGAATCACGGGGCGGGGCCAAAGGTGTGAGTCAGGTGCTGGCGATTCAAACATGGCGCCTGCCTGCCGGCTGTGTGCGGGGAGGACTCGCCAAAGGAGCCATGGCCTCCGCCAGCCCTTCTGCCTGGGAGGAAGCCGCCCTCCGCCTCTCGCCCGGATCTCAGGCAGGTTAGTTCCTCCCCGAGTGTCCCGGGTCCTTTCAGGCTGCTGCCCGGCGCTGGGCTCAGAGGGAGCGTCCGAGTGAGTCCGTGCCGGGCCCTTAGGAGGAGCTGCTGGGGCTCCCGCAGCCTCCGCGACCCTCAGGGACAGTCCCCGCTGGTTTCACAGCCCCAAGGTGTGGGGACATCTCTTCCCGGCCCTGGAGCCCTGGGCTGGGGGCTGCTGTGGGGCTGGGAGCCCGCCCTCCTCCCTCCTCCGGGAAACCTCTGCCCGAGATTCCCTCCCGGGTTTAACCGGCGCCACTGGGTGTGGGCCCGCGGCCACGTTTCTGATCCAGCCCCGATCCGCCCGCGTCTCTGCCCCTCCTACCGGTCTCGGTGCTTCTTCAGCTCCCTGGTTGTGGGGCTTCTGTGCAGCCAGATCTCAGGAGGCTCTGAGCGACGGTGGTTCTGTATTTTAGTTGTAACGTTGATGTGGTTGCGGGAGGCGGCAGTGCCGCTGTTATCTGCTCCGCCATCTTGTTTCCTCAAGAGCTCTTTCTGCTTCTTTACAAGTACTCAAGGAACTAGTATTTATCAGTATACAATAATAATGTTTTTTTACTTATAAATTTGACAAAGATTTAAAAATTGAATAACACCAAGAGTTTGTTATGAGTAACAGGCACTCTATAGGAATTCTCTTTGAAGGAAACTTGGCCCTATCTGTATTTAGAATGAAAAGATTTGGCTGCAACTGGTAGGAAATATGAAAACAACAGAGTTTAAACGTGATAGAAGTTTGCTTTTCTCTTAGATAACAAAGTTTGGACATAAGCATTCAGGAGTCACATGGAGGCTCATGGAGGCCTGGGCTTCTTCTAGCTGTTGTTGGCCTATGTTGTTGATCCTAGGTGGCTGCTTCTGTACCAGTGATCACACCTATCCATATTCCTGACAGCAAGGAGAAAGGGGGAGGGGAGGAGCATGCCCCTCTCTTTTAGGACACTTCTGACATCCCCTTGCCCAGAACTTAGACATATGGCTACATGCAGCTCCAAGGGAGGCTGAAAAATACAGTCTCTACTCTGGGTGCCCATGTGCCAAGCTAGAATGAAAGACTCTATTCCTATAGAAGATGGGAAAATGGGTACCAGGGGACCACCAAATTATTTGAAAAGCATTTAAATAGAGTGTTGGGAAAATTTCCCGAGGTATATTGAAGTCGATCTCCCAAGGAAGACAGGCCAAGATCAAAAAAGAGGCTGACAACTCCAAAATTAAAGTTTATTAAGGGAACTTATGGACAGAAGAGAGTCTTGGGCATCAGCAAGAAAGTGGACCTCTGTACCCTAAAGGGGATGGGGGTTTGATATATGTCCCTCTAGGAATAACAAGTCGTTTGTAGCCAAGTGACTCGTGCTTGTTGAGAGGTGCATATTCCAAAGCACTAAACAACTTAATGGGCCTACTGACCTATGTAAGAACATTCCTTTCAGGTGATAGGCTATCTGAGAGCAACTTGCTTCTTAAGGTGGCCTTAGTCATGGCAAGCACCAGAAACCAATTTTCCTAAAATAGGGCCATGTCGACAATTTATTTTACAGATATGGTTGCACAAGTGATTAAAGATGTGTACAAAAATAGTCATCGCAGCATTGTTTATGATAGCAAAAGACTGGGATCAACTATAATGTCCATTGATATGGGATTGGTTATAGAAAGTATAATACATCCAAGGAATGGAATGCTAGATAGCTATTCTTTTTTTATGAGATAAATATATAAATGTTGATGTAAAAAGAACTCCTAACTATATTACTAACTAAACAACAACACACACGACATTCAGAATAGTAGAATAGTATGTATTGAACAATCTCTATTTTATTAAAGGATTTATATTTCTTTGTCAGGAACTGGGAGGTATCTAAGCAAAATTAACTATTGAAAAACATTCATGTACACGTTTTTGTGTGGACAAATGTTTTCGTATCTCTTGGGTATATAGCTAGGAGTGGGATGGTTAGATCATATGGCAGCTCTGTGTTCAACCTTTTGAGGAACTGCCATACTTTTCCAAAGTGGCTGCCCTATTTTGCATTTCCACCAGCAGTGTATGAGGGTCCAAGTCCTCCACATCCTCGCCAACACTTGTTATTATCTTTGACTTTTTAAAAGACTCACTGGTCTAGACTGAGGATCTCCCTAAGAGTGTTGGGTGTGTCTATTGTGGTGGGAATGGTGTTGTAAGTGCAGTGGTGGGTATATTTGGAGGGGGGTGCGAAGAATCAACATGTTAATATCTCAAAATACAATCCCATTACCCTGTAATAGGCCCCCTTATCTACTTACACAAGAAATATAGACTCATTCCCCCTGAGTCACTAAGCACTGTGCGCATTGGCATGGAAAACAGACAGATGAGCTGTGGCTCCTGCTCCCCAGGCCAGGCCCCACGTCTAGTTGGGAAGGGAAGGCTGGCTGCTTCCTCCTCAGAGACCCACCCATCCCACTCACTCGCTCCTGGCCGGTGGGAGCCTGGTCAGCTGGTCAACAGAGGAGGGATGACACAAGTTTTTCCTTCTTTCTTTTTTTTCTTAACAGATAAAGTAAACAATGAACCAAGCAAAAAGGAGAAGCCGTATAAGATCTTTTTCAGAGATCTCTTTCTTTTCAAAGAAAGTGAAATCGCAGCAAAGAAACGGGTAAGTTTTTATTAAAATCTCAGTCCCAATTAATTTTAGAATCGTAGCCTCTTATCCATCACTTTTATGAACTTTGCTGGGGTAAGGCTGGTGTCAGATGTCAGTGTGTGCACCACACCCTGTGCTGGGGGAGATGGTGCACATGTGCGCATGTGTGCGCACACACAGGCCAAAACAGCATCCAGCCTGTGGTAGGGACCTAAAGATCACCCCCTACTGGGGGAAGACAGACACATCATTACAATCCACCCTGACAAGTGCAGTATACCCTTATTTCATTGATTTTAATGGCCACATTTTTTCACAATTCCTCAGTCCTGAAATTGAGATCCAGCTTATGTAGGTGGGATGTCATACCTACCTGGCAGTGCATAAAGTAATACCGCATCTTACAGTAAGTGGCACCTTAGAGCTGTTGAGATATAGTAATGGAGGCATATAAAGGAAATCTACAGCAGGTGGTTGTTGGCAAGAAGAGGGAGAGGTGAGTGGGGGTGGGGGTGGGTGTGTGTGTGCAGGTGTGTGTGGGTATGTGTGTGGGTGTGTCGGGGGTGTGCAAGTGTGTGTGCGGGTGTGGGGGTGTGTGTGCAAGTGTGTGTGTGTGGGGGTGCACAAAGACTACACTGAGGAGATAAACAGGGACAGGATTGTTAAGAATAAGCGAAAAGCTACTGGGCAGATGCAGGTAAGAGACTGTATCCGTGTGTACTGGGCGGGAAATGAAAGTGGAGGAGGGGTGTCATTTGGAATTCTGTGGTATGAAGCTACATCAGTGATGAGGCTCACTCTCTGGGTGCCTTACAGTTAATCTCATGCATCACATGGCTCAGATTTCACTAGGTTCCTTTTGCTTACCCTTAGATGGGTGATTACGGGATTTTAAAAGGTGAGGAAAAATCCAGGAGTACTCAGTGACAGACCCATCCACAGGGTGATGGTTTTATGCACGTGTTTTATAGTTTGATTAAAAGTATCCAAAATTAAATTGAGAAAAGATTCACGAAATCTGGGAGCTATTTTTTTGTGTCTACTGGGGAGGTAAAAGATTCATGAAATCAGGAGGCTATTTTTTATGTCTACTGGAGAGGTCAAAATTTTATTTTTCTAATCTTCACCTGAGGATATTTTTCCCATTGCTTTTCAGAGAGAGTGGAAGGGTGAGATGAGAGAGAGAGAGAGAGAGAGAGACATCAATATGAAACAGACACATCGATTGGTTACCTCCCAAACCTGCAACCGAGGTACATGCCCTTGAACGGAATCCAACCCAAGACCCTTCGGTCAGGTCCGAGGGCCGACGCTCTAACCACGGGGAAAAACTGTCTAGGGCAAGGTCAAGTTTTCAATTCCACAGAATCATTCCTTTCAAATCAGTGGAATTTTCAAGACTCTGCATTTGGGGTAACACAAGATTGTGACGATAAAACCAGAGCAATATCTTCCAGTTTTGTATTTGTCACGTGCATGTTTATAGTAAAGGTTGACTGTCTTTACATTTGTGCTCACTTTGTAGGAGAAGGAATTGGAAACTAATCACGGTTCTTCAGAGATAAGAACCTGAGGTTGCTCGGTCAGTGTATTGACTAGTAGTGAGAAAAGGACTTGTTGCAAATGATATTGTTATATATGACCGCTATGTTAAGACAATATTATTTTGGCATGTTGCAAATTCTTTTAAACTTTCCCACTTGGGCAGGAAAAATTTTTGAACCGCAGCAGGAAAGTCTACCAAAAGTCTACATTTTCATCTCGAATGAAGAGTCGTTCACACCTGAGCCAAATAGCGTTTCCCTCTGACACGGGTGGTGCCTCATTTGACAAGTATGGGTTCAATCCCGCACTTATTCTCAGGTTAACAGAAGGTAAGTCTAAGTGACTGTTTAAAAACATGGTTTGAATATTTACTATTATATCAGATTTGGTGGTTTTCTGCAGGTCAGAAACAAAGTGTGCTGTCTCCTAATACGGTGGTGAGGGGCTATAAATGGGGGTTGAGAGTTGGGAGAAAAATCTATTTTAAATAAGAAAGCGGGCTTTTCCAAGAAGAGCCTGTCACTCATTTTCATGGCTCTAAGGAAGAAAGTCACTGCCAAAATCACGTAGTATTAAAGGGAATGGCTCTGGCTATTTAAATTCAGTTTTCACTGGATTTAAGAGAAGTCTTTCTAAAGAGCAGCCTTGATTGTCTGGGCCACACAACTCATATATCCAGAATTAGGAAGCTAATAAGAATTAAATAGTTTGCCTCTTGTTGCAAAAACATAACCTGTTTTAATGACTGGTGGAGGCAACATGATAAAATGCTACATGCTATTAATTATTGCTCTATGAAAGGCCAGTCTGAGAATCAAAATGCCATGGCCATTTCCTGCTTATCAGATCAAGAAGTGCCTACAAATGAGACAGAAAGCAGTTTGAAGCTTACGAGCTTAAAGTGATTAATTCTAGGACGATGGACTGATAAAATCTTCCTCCAAAATAAATCTTATTCAAATTTTTTTTTTTCCAATCCTCACCCGAGGATATTTTTTTTTGTTGCTTTCCAGAGAGAGTGGAGGGGGGAGAGAGAGAGAGAGAGACAGAGAGACAGAGAGAGACAGAGAGAGACAGANTCAGAGAGAGTGGAGGGGGGAGAGAGAGAGAGAGAGACAGAGAGAGACAGAGAGAGACAGACAGACAGACAGACAGACATCTATGTGTCACCACACTAGCCCCGACTGGGCCTGGGAATTGAGCCTGCAACCGAGGTAGGTGCCCTTGGCTGGAATAGAACCTGGGAGCCTTCAGTCTATGGGCTGATGCTGTAACCACTGAGCAAAACCAGCTAGGGCCTTATTCAAATTTTTAAATTAAAAAAGGAAGCATGAAGAAGCACTATTGTATGGAAAAGCAGCAAGTGATAAGTGACACAGTGATGTCAGCGACCAGGCCACTGATAGGGTGGGTCCCCAGGTTCAGTCTTGTGTCTCATGTTAACAGTTCACTTCTGTTGCGTGTGAACCCTAAGTCATCAAGAGCAGTTTAAATGACACATGATATGTTTTAGAAAGAGCTCTGCACAAAATGGCCAACTTCAAAAGTCCTTGCCACTCTAATAGCTTTGAGACTGCTAGGAGGTGTGACATTGCAGACGACCCTATTCAGCATCATTGGTGATTAACAGAGGGGTTACTGGTCACTTAAGGGTAAATGAGGTAGGGTAGACCCTTAAAAAGGAAATAGTAAAATTGTTTGGTATTACCCAAGGCCACCTGGGCTCCATCAACAGTGGAAATCAGGTTGTCAGTTTCTGCTGATTACACAGACAAGATACTTGGACATTCTTGTTTAAAATAATCAGGTCCCCCTCAGCTGAGTAACCCTGGACAAGCATTTTGACCTCTCTGAGCTTCAGGATCTCACATACAAGAAGGGGCTAGTGCCTTATTGGGGTTATTGTTAGGATTAAATAAACTGATGATTTAAAGTATCTAATAAAATTCCTGGAATATCATGGACCCAAAATAAATGGTAGTTACTCTTATTAAATTAGCTTTTAAGTCCAGATACAGATTGTATGCAATAATTGAATTACAATAGCTGAACTAAAACCTAAGTCAATTTCCATTTTCTTTAAAGGTGCAGACACAAAAAGGACTCTCCATGAATTCATTAGTGACCAGCGAGGCAGGTTTCTGCTCGAGGTAGTACAAATGTTTTTTGTCCCATTAGCCAAATAGAAGGCTTCTTGCGTAGCATTGCCAGATTTTCACCTTGACGTTTTGTTTGTCCATTACATGCCCCGACCTATTGCCCTTCCTCTCCTCTCCTGAACCCACGTCAATCAGGCTTCGGTTTTCATCGTTCCTCACGTCACAGTCTTCCTTCTCTCTCAGCAGCAGCTGGCCCATGGGACCACTTTCTCTTCTTGAAACACTTTCTTTAGCTGGTTTCCAGGACCAGCTGTCTCTAGATTCTTCCAGGTCACTAGCTACTCACTCCTTTATAGTTTTCTTTACTGGTTCCTCTTCTCCTTGATCTCCAAATGCTAGCATGCCCCAGGGCTCACTCCCGTTATGCTCCATCTACCCTCCTCCAGGCCCATGGCTTTAAATTCCACTCCCATACTAACAATTTCCAATTATTTCTCTAGCCTGCCTCTCTTCCCTGAACACTCCACGCTCACAAATGCAACTGTAGTTCTTAATATCTCCACTTAGAGGCTCAACAGGCAGCTCAGACTTCACATTTCTAAAGTGTGGCCCCTGCTATACCCTTCGCTACCCTTGAAGGTCTGCATCTCATGCAGTGCTCCCTGTCTCAGCAAACAGCAATTCCATTGTTCCGGTTGCTTAGGCCCAAAATATTGGCATTATCCTCAACTCCACCTCCTTACAACCCACATCCAAATATACTTCTAAATATTTTTTCTGAATATATCCATAATCACACTACTTCTCATGACCACCACTGCTGCTGCTGTAGACCACGTCACCAATATGTCGTGCATGAAGTCTTATAACTTCTAAACACTGTTCCCCTGCTTCCACCTTTGCTTTCCAGTGTCTGTTCTCCACACAGCATTAGAAGTCTATTCTCACCCACGCCTCTCCTCTGCTGAAGACCATTAGTGACTTATCTGGCGTCCAGCTCTCTCCCTCTTATCTCGTTCCTACCACTCCCTTTTGCTCCACCTGCTCCAGACATACTGGCCTCCTTGCTGTTCCTGGGACACATCAACCATGCTGTTGCTTCAGGGCTTTGCACAGAGGCTCTTCCTTCTGGGAGGAACATTCCTTCCTCAGATATCTGCATGATTTGCTCCTACTTCCGTCCAGTCTCTTCTTTAATTTTCACCGTATCAGGGAGGCTTTCCTTGGCTATACATAATGGCAACCCCTGCCCTTACCCACTGGACTCCTTAACCCCTTTAATAGGTTCCTCCCCACCCCTTACTAGAATGTATACCCCATAAAAGCAATTTTGTTTATTTTGTTCATTGCTCTAGTAACACCCCTTGAAACAGCCCTGGCACACAGCAATCACTCAATACTTGGTGAATGAAGTAATACATGAAAACATGTTTTTGTTATAAACTTGGAGTATCTAATGATTGGTTGTGTTGCTTTAAAATTATCTTATTTACATAGTTTTAATTCGTTTATATTGTAATGTATGTGGCTTCATTTATTTATAGTTTATTTTCCATGCGTGGCATTAAAAACCTAAGTGGATTCTTATACTCTGTACTAGAAAAAATAGAAGCTTGATGTCAAAATTGGATTTGGGGATCTAAATGGGGCTCTTTGGGGCTGAGCACAGACAGCCCTCCTTGGGCTGGCTGGGAGCAGAGCCTCGCTGACACAGGGCCTGCGCCTGCTTCTCCTGTGGCACTTCCTGTGCGAGGAGCCTGTGAGGCTGCAGGCAGCCCAGGTTTCCAAGGCTAGAAAGTACTGGAGGGACCTGTGGGGAACACCAGGTGGACCTGCTCTTTGGAGTAATATGTAGCTATTTTTTTATTAGTGGGGCCCAGCCATTGTGGAACAATATTGAGCCTCTTCATAAAAGTGCGAGAGAAGAATGAATCTCCCTTCTAATGACCTCCCAAATAAAATTCCTTCATGAAATAAAGGCCACCCCTGGCCTCCCTACCCCCCCCCCC